GGACAAAGACATGACATGACTGCCAACAATGCAACTGCCCTGGCAGCCATGCTTCACATCTGGGAACTAGCAAGATTGCAAGTTCATAGACAATTTTTCCCCATCAGTGAAAACCACACTTGGGGGATGTAGCAGCTATGTGTCCAAATCAGTTGTGTGCAATAAGCTGGTGTGTGATACAGTCACTTTTTTCTAATTCCAATCTCAGCCCTGTGTACTAATCTCAGATGCACACCCTATTGTGGTCCCAGTCCATGGAATAACAAGAAGTTTGATCTTGTGAGGTTACATTCCATGATAAAAGTAATAGGTACTGCACACAAAATGAACTAATTTCCCAATGACCCAACAGTGAGCTTGAACATGTATGACAGAACTTTGTTAGCACTTGCGATAATAAGTTTTAATGGTGCAGAAAAACATTAATAACATTTGGACTGTGACGAACCACTCCTGCCACCTTGACTATTTCTCTCTTTTAAAATTTTATGTGACTGGCTTCATAGCCCTCTTCACCTCCCGGTCCAGTAACTATTAATAACACACTGGTAGCATTTGTTCAAAATACTCCCACTGAGGCCCAATTAGGTTTTTATAAAATAGAAGATGGTTTTATTATGTTTCAAACATACAGGCACGGCTTCTTGGTTTTCAAACTTGTTAATAATATTACCTAGTTACAGTTTCAAGTGTATTGTAGCTATTTCAAATACAATCCTTCATCTGTTTCTATGATTACAACCTAACCACACAGACCTAGAACTCTGATGAACCACAAAGAGTTTTTTTTCTCTTTTTTTTTCTTTTGACTCTTATCTTTGTTCCACTTACTTCCCTCCGGAACAATCCATAGCCTCTGGCTTAAGGTACTGCCTCACTGTACCTCTGTCTAAGTCAGATCCAACAGACACTCTCGAAGCTTCTGAGCCTTCTGTTCCACAGTTCCGAACTGCCTAACTGACTATATCCCTCACCGCCTGAGCTATTTATCTCCTTCCAGCTGCTCTCTCATTGGCTGGTTCCAGCTGTCTCAGGATTGGTCAGCTGTCTTCAGATCTTCACAGCTCCCTGCTGTCTTTCTGTTCATCGCATGGACCACCACTCAAAAATCCACCATATATTTTATTTATGATTATATATACAACTAACTATGTTTGGAGTCTTGGCAATGTAATGATAACTAATTGCTCTTGAGAAGTAAAGACCACACTATCTATTTCATTGTGTCCAGTTCCAGTTTCATTTGAAAGAATTTCTCAGCTTCTTTAGTGGGCTGAACATACAAGGCATCCTTCCCCCATCTTCTGTGGCTGATCAGCTTTATCAAATGTGAATTTGCCATGTTCTGTCTGCCTTCCAGTTTTTGCCTGTGATGTGACTTCCTTCTTTTCTCACTGTAGAATTCCAATCATGAGGACACATTGTGGCATGCTATAGAGAAAAAAAAAATATGGAAAGGAACCTAGGATGTATCCACATTGCAGAAATAAAGTAGTTTGACCCCACTTTAATTGTCATGGCTCCATCCTGTGGAAACATGAGATTTGTAGTTTGGTGAGGTATCCAGCCTGTTCTGACAGAGGGCTTTAGTGCATCTTTTGTTGTTAACTGCTCTTGAGTTGATCTCAACTCATGGTGACCCTATGGAT